GAAGTTAAACATAACTGAACACCTAATATTATTTCATCAACCGAGAGCAGAACTTAGTCCTCCTTTTGAGTTCAGCATCAATGTTCAGTTCATTCCTAACTGCCTTCAGAGCTGTATTAATGGGAATATTAGTATATAAGCAAGCTGGTTATGTTAAAACTAACCATTTTTTCATCTTTTTCTAATTGAATTTCCTCTAGTTTCTGTTTCATTATATAGTATTAGCTAGCCTAGAATTCTCCAATGGGGCATAACACTAATGCTTAATATTTAGATAACTCGTACTTTGGGATGTTCCTACAGTCAACTACTGGTCTATCTGTCTGTTTTCGATATTGAACTTTGTACCGATGTGCAGCAGTCGCCACACTCTCTCCTTGTAGCACACAAAGCAAGAGAGGAAATGCAAAACAGAGACAGTAGACAGGGATATGAATGAAGCTAAAGGAATAGTAATATCGAAGAACAATAGTTTTATTGGGTATTATAAGTCACAAGGAGTGGATGCATCTCTGCCAGTCATTGACAACTATTTTGAGCCATACCACCAATTGTCTTCAGCCATTGGTGTTTACCGTCCTGAGGACCCCCAAACAGGAAGTCTACACCTCCCTACACGGCTTAAACTAACTGTTGTGGATTCATTTCATTGACTGATGAAGCCATGTTTTGGTTTGACCGCCGCTAGCTCTTTTCCAGCCTGACCGTATGTCAGCTAACATTGCCCATCGAGGAAGGCGATGACTGAGCATATGTAACACATGTCCTAACCATCTCAATCGGTGTAACTTCATAGCCTCGTCGATTGATTTCCCCTCCTTATCTAGAACTCGACGCCTAACCTCAATATTGCTCACCTTATTACACCACTTTACACCGGAGATAAAACGCAGGCACCTATGATCGAAGACAGCTAATCTTTTGATGTCTTCTGCTCTCAATGGCCAGGTCTCACAGCCATAAAGGAGGACGGAGCGGACTGTTGAGCAGTACACACGCCCCTTGGTCGATAGTCGGATATCACGTCTGTGCCAGAGACGGCGAAAACTGGCATATGCGAAAATAGCCCTCTGTATTCGTACTGAGATTTCGTCAGAGATCAACCCGTTGGGGCTGATGGTACTTCCTAAGTAAGTGAAGCGGTTAACGTGCTCTACCACTTCACTCCCTATTTCTAATCTAGGAATCGGTGTAGTCCAATCCTGCAACATCATCTTACATTTTATAGGGTCGAATCTCATGCCAAACATATGAAGATTGCTGCTCAAGGTGTTCAGAAGACTGCATTTTGTCAGCGTCCTCGCCTAGAAGGACTATATCATTTGGATATTTTAAGTCAACGAGATTATTCCCTGGTAGCATGTGAATCCCTGAGTCACTGAAAAGAGTTAGGGTTAAATCCATTAGTACATCTATGATGAAATTGGATAGAAATTTATTTTTTATTTTATTTTTATTACAGCTTGATGCCACACCGTATTTTCAGTACAATATGGAATTTTCAGCATGGATATCGGTAGCCCAAATTTTGCAGGCCAACCATAGATATCGGGTGTTCGTCGGCAGGGGATAACGGGCATCCCTGACGGACACCACTAGTCGTCACCACTTCAGATGACAACTCGCCGTAAGCCCTCATCTGGCTGCATGAGTTCGAGTAGAGTGCCTTGATCAGTGCAATGTATTTTCTCGGCATTCCCTTTACAGCCAAGCATCGCCATCACATACATTCTACTAGGATGATTAGTTGTAGGCATGAAATTCCACAACCCCTAACTGAATGAACCACAGTATTATCTTATAAAAATATCGTTCCCTTTGCAGAATAAATGTGGAAAACCCAATAGTTGCAGAAAAATTGCAAATAGAGGACATCTTATAGGGTAGGGAAGGAGTTAAAAACAAATAAGAGCGTGTGGAGAAGGAACCAGTTGAGAAGTTGTTTACGACAGAGTAACTTGGCTTGATATTTAGTGGTTGAAATAGCCGCTGGTCTTCGTGGCAGACATCATATTGACAACAGATCTCTCAATAACTAGCGGACAAATACAAACTCGATCAAGTGTTGAGCAACGTGAAAAACAAGCGACAAAAATAGTAGTAGAAGCAGTACATGGTTAAATCACAAGGAGTAGAGACAAGTTATGGTCAATGATTGATTCATTAGAAGACAAAGGACTGCAAAGTTGTATCTGCTGGAATCTCCTTCAGAATACACACATCGTGAGCCTACTCTGATAACAGCCAACAGCAGTAATTGACACCACTCTCTAAGACATAACCCAACTGACCTATCAACTAATTTCCAATCACTTATCTACCGGTAACACACCAGAATGTTGTCCTATAAATCTCTCAGTGAAGTTAGCACCCATTTAAATAATCAAACACCTATGATGACTAGTTTTCAAATTTCAACGTATTTATTCCTTGAGATGATAGCAGTTAAACTTCACTGCATCATTTGGCTAAACGTTTAGATGTTATGAGGTTGATGACACTTTCAACCTATTGATTTTGTCTCAACTACCAAACAATTGACACCGGTATGTTGCACTGAAGGTACTAGATAGGTGGTGGTCACTTCACATGGTCAGGAAAGTACATCACATATATCTATTACCCAGGTACCATACAACATACCTGGCTGAGTGGATTAAAATGTCAGCTCAGAGCTGATCCTGAAGAACACAGGAAATTCGATCATCGAGACTGTTGAGATAAGCAAGAATGACTACTACTAGAAGTTAGGTAATGACTCAAAAACTGCTGGTGACACAATTGTAAATGCACTCAATAGTGTCGGGTTTATACTAACTGTAGTGGATTTCATTGACTGCTGAAACCATGTTTTCGTTTGACCACCACATGCTAGCTTTTTTCCAACTTGATCCATCCTATGTCAGCTAACATTGTCCCGTGTCGACGAAGGCAACCGACGACTAGGCTAGACATGCGTAACAAATGTTTGAACCACCTCTCTCAATCGATTTACCTGTTTCATAACCTCATCGATTGACGTCCCCTCCAACTCATCTTATTATACCACCTAACACACACGGGAGAAAGAACACCGGCACCTACAATCAAAGACAGCCAGCTAGCCAGCCTTTTCATGTTTTCCACTCTCAGTGGCCATGTCTCACTCACATTCAGCCATAAAGGAAGACTGGTCAGACTGCTGAGCAATACGCACATCCTCTGGTCGACAACCAACCAGCCAGCCGGATATCACGTCTACTAAGCCGGAGATGGAGTAAGTTTTCAGGCATATGCCAAACCAGTCTTCTGTAACCGTACTGAGATTTCGTCAGCAATAAGATCAACTCGCTGGCGTTATTGGTTGATGCAACTCCCCTCCTCCGCCAAATAAGTGAAGTGGTCAACACACTCCACCAACCACTTCACTCCTGCCTATCTTTAATCCAAGAGTGGGTCAATGTAGTCAAGTCCAGCAGGAGCGAATAGCACGCCAAACATTCGAAGACTACTCACTGCTCAAGGTGTTCAAAAGACTCTGCTCTATCTTGTCGACGTCTTCATCCACATATTCTAAATCATCGCAACAAGTCTATGGCGGGGGGGGGGGGTGATACAGCTTCTCAGGTGACGAAGTTCACACGCCCAACTACTTTACTCTGCATACTTAAATTAGGTGATTGACGTTTGGCTCAACAAGAAAATTCAGAATTAATGAGACAACACACAATGAAAGTAAAACTTGTCAAAACGTCTTGTAAAAGACATATTAATATATGTGTGAAAATTGGGCACTGTAGTAGTAATTCCATATTAGTTTGTTTATTAGATATATCAAACAATCAGTGAAACAGTATTATTTACTGGATGACAATGTTTCGAACAAAATTTATTGCTCATAATCATATGAATTATAATCACACGACTTCGAAACTTGAGTTTTATAGTTTTCTTTGTTCTTTCCCCTATTCTTACAGATATCCGAGTGGACAAAAGTTGAATCATTCCTATACACAAAGCTTCTGTTATCAATCTCTCCCTCCACCCCGTTAAATTGGATTTGAAAACTGTCATCTTATCCCATCCAGTCTATTGTATGGTTGTGTGTATTTGCATGTAGTAAGTGGTATAACTGAACTATTCCCTAGATTTCTTACCTTATTCGGGTCAACCAATCTAGATTTTGCTGCTAGGTGTTTATGCTCGGCTAATCTGACTGCACCTGTTCTACTACTTTGACCCGACAATCATTGCAGGGTATTAGATAAACTAAATTGTTTTGTTTTAAAGGCTCCACAGGATAGATCCTTTAACCGATAAAGCTTGTTTCTAATTGAGTTTGTGGGTGAATGAATGCCACTTTTATTCCTGCCTAGTTAAGAATTCTGCGTAAGGTTTCCGAGGTTGCTTCCTTCTATGGAAGTAATACTGATGATTTAGATTCCTTATTGGTAGGGTTGTCATTATCTTGCGCATGTTTGATATGCATGTCGTCATTAATATTACTATTATTATCATTATCACTTCTGTCATTATTTATTTTATTTTACATTTCCCTACATACTTCCTGATTAATTTATCAGGGTGATTATTAAGTTTCAAAGCTACTCTTAAATGCCTCACTTCCTGTCTTAGATTTTCTTTGGTGCTACTTAGTTTTTGTCCTCTATCACTTAAACATTTCACCAGTTGTATTTTTACTGACATAGGATGGAATGATCGGAAGTCCAAATATCGGTTTGAATGTGTGGGTTTTCTGTAAACACTAGTGTTTTTTAACTTCCCATCTTCTTTCCTTTTTACGCTACAATCTAACATTGGAAGCTCCCCTTGCTGACTTTCCAATACATAAGTGAATTGAATTGCCTCCACCTTATAAAAGAACTTTTTAACAGAATGAATAACTGCTTAACTATACCATGCCTATTGACCTAAGCCTTTTCTTTGAGCTTCACCTTAAAGAATGTGTAAATGAAATTGAAAACTCACTGCCCAACACTACTTATCAAATACTGACTTACTTGCATTGACGTAAAATATTGGACATGTTAGAAAGTATGGCTTTTTCGTATCTGCTTGATGATTAGAATGCCGCAAACTCTTAGACAATGTTTTCCAGCGATTAACCTGGCGAAACTAACGTTAATCAAAAACACACACATTGGAGAACTAATCTATAGGAATAAAATAAAAACAATATTGCGTGAATCAATGTTTATTTTAAGAAAGAAAAGTACAAACAAATTGGTGGCGGTGGGGGAGGGAAGACTTCATCTGTCCATCTGGTTTCAACATAAAACACTTTGCACCGGTGTGCGGCAGTTCAAGTCGCCACACTTCACTCAGCACACAAAGCAAGAGAAGATAATAAAAAGAAACGCAAAATAGAAACAGTAAACAGAGATATGAATGAGGCTGCAGGAATAGTAATAACGAAGAACAATATAGTTTTATTGGGTATTAAAAGTCACAAGGAGTGGATGCATCGACGCCATCATCGAGAACGATTTTGAGCCATACCACCACTGGTGTTTAACGGCCCGAGGACCCCAACCAGGAAGTCTACACCTTCCTACGTCACTGGCTTAAACTAACTGTTGTGGATTTCATTGACTGATGCTATATTTTGGTTTGACCACCACTGGCTCTTTTCCAACCTGATCAGTCCTTGTCAGCTAACATTGCCCGTCGAGGGAGGGAGACTCCATCCAAAAATAGGTAAGCTGCATATAATGAACACAAAACTTGAAGATCGTATTGAAAGACTGAAAATATGCAGCAGAAGTCCCAAATTATCCTCATAAAAACATTTCATAGTTTTCCCGGAATATATTGTATCTGCAATCACACGCCACAGCTCCGTTGAACTACTTCCTTCAATTCAAGAAAACTCTCCGCCCATCTAAGTAAAAGGAAAGAAAAATACGATCACAAAACACGAAACAAGTAACAACACAACACACACACATACAATATATATATATGCAATGACTCAGAATTTCGCTCCGATGCTAATTTCAATGCCTCCTCAATGTAAACCCTAAGGTCAACAGAGTAGGCTGAAACTCGGCTCTGTTTTCATCACAGTCATCAGTTATTATGATATACATTTCGTCATGTGACCAGCAGTTCCCCACGTCCTCCTTCACACTAGTGAGACATGCCTGTTGAAATTCGAAGATATGAAGACGCTAGTTGCATCTGACCACAGATATCCGCGTTATATCTCTCATGTTAAGTGGAATAATATGGTCAGTAATCATGAGTTAGTTAGTTAGGCACCGACCATGCACATGGTCCGGGGTTCGATCCCCGGCCGACGCACTCCTTTACCTCGCTAAGCCAGAAATAATGCTGGTGAAGAGGAAAGGTTGGGCATGAGGTTAGCAACCCCATCCTGTAAAATAAACACTGCTACAGGAACTTCAAGCCACTAGCTTGGAGCCCTATGTTCCACTGTGGAACGTGAAGGAAAAAATTAATAAAATAAAAAGTATTAGATCAAGGAGGGAAAATTAATCGAACACGTTGTCAAGCTGTATCGATTGACAGGATAGATGTTACGCATGCCAAGCCATTGTCTTCACTATTTACCTGACAAAGGATTCGGTTGGAAAAGAGTTAGGGGAAAATCAAACCAAAACATGGCATTAATCTAGTCTTTAATTTGTGGTGTCAACCAGCCACCTAAGAATGTGTGGACTGTTTGACAGAGGTCTATCAAACGCTAATAATCAGCGGTGATATGACTCAAAATCGTCCTCCATAGCACAGATACATCAACTGTTTGTGTACTTCCTTTTCTCTCTATCCTAACGAAGTGTAGCAGATTGAACTGCTGCACTATGCATAGATAGCTTGGTGATCAAAATTTATTTCGACTCAGTAATAATCAAAAGTGACTAAGTATTACTGGCGTTAAAGTACATGCCCCAAAAGAGATAACGCCAACCAAGTATACTTAGAATTTTAGTTAGAATCTCTGAACATCAGATCACTTAAAGTTTGTTTTGATAGTAAAAACACCAAGGTTCAGTTATGAAGAGCACTGATTACTAACCATATATTGTTAACTTAGGACTGGAGAGATACAATTATCTCTTCCTTGTGTCATTTGGAAACTTCTGTAGTGTATTCACACTTTGAAAGCCCACTTTTGAACAGCCTCATCATAGGAAATACAAAATTTTAATGCCATGCCACAATTGCAGGGTTATTAGGAAAGGAGCGTTATACAATGAAAATTATACACGAACCATTTGCTTAAATTAATATCGACAAGTACTCCTCTTCATTACAGGACTATTTTACTGACATGTAACCTCCACTGTTGAAATCCTTGTAAGATAATCTCACCTTGATACACATCGCTAACCGTTTGCAAATGACTAAAAGGGTATAAGAACTAATTTCCCTGTAGTGAAAAGTGCAATTTCATCGTGTTGAATGTCACAGAGGATAAAGGGTTTATGGCATACCCCTATCTGCTTTTGGAAAAACAACGATCACTATGACTTTAAACAGTAAACTTATTTATAAATTCCATCTACTTAAGAGTACTTTCTGAGGAAGGAATGGGCGGGATCTACCAAGTCTGGTAAGAGATCAGTTCATCTCCTCTGACACTGGCTGGAGGTTGTGCGATATGTATCACGAATTGGCAGAAGTTGGAATTCATGAGCTGACCATTGAGTAGTGTCTCAGTGGCTGAGAACGGTCCACGAGCTCACCTTGTAATAGGAAGGTCCTGGACTCGAACCCTGGAGGCGAGTGCGCACTGACTAGGAGTCCCAAACCAGGAAGAAACAGTAGTCCAGTGCTCTATGTCTGTCTGTCTGGATTCAACATAGAATCCAATGCTCTCTGCTGGTTTTCCAGTTGGCTCCCTAACTTGATGTCAACTCGTGACGAAACCTGTAACCAAACAAGTCTCTGCCAACCAACACTCGGCAAATGGTTATATTTTTTCAAGATAACTTTGAGTAGAACTTACCATAAATAACGGATAAATCACGATCCGAGTGACTATTGATACATGGAGTGCGAGATGAACAAAGACAAGCACCTGGACGCATCATGTTATTCTTATACAGGGAAGCTCACTGATGCCCATTCGAATAACTCACTACTCTTTACTTCTGTTGAAAGGATTGCCAAGGGCGAAACAATTCACACAGGTTCAGTCTAGAGTTTTCTTAGAATACAGCCAAGATACTTCTGCATGAAACAGATATTCATTGGGATGAATGGACTGAGCGAGACTGGTTTATATTTGTATACTTCCATAACAGGAACTTGACAAATACTGACTCATTTGGTTTGTTCACTGGAATTCCTGACAAATCCAGGCGCATCTGAGTTAAAAGAAAGAAAAATGCAGTTACAACACACGAAACAAGTAACAACACAACACACACAATATATGTCTATATACATACAGTAACTCAGAATTTCGCTCCGATGCTAATTTCAATGCCTCCTCAATGTAAACCATAAGGTCAACAGAGTAGGCTGAAACTCGGCTCTGTTTTCATCACAGTCAAATGTATTAACGGATAAACTTGTCAGGTCACGTGGATTCTCTAGTCCTTCTAGCATTTCTGAAGTAAGGGATTAATACATCCACATGAAACTGAGTTTTTCAAGTAACTAGGGCACCAATATGCTACTGTCTTAGTCTTAACTTTATGGAAACGAACGTTATTTATGTTATGAAAACGAAATTCATGCAGTAAGTGAAGTCCATTGTTGGTGAGTGACTTCCCCACCGGCTTTCACCACCTTTGAGCGGAGTAGAAAACAACTTAGATGGATGTTCTACTGATACGTCCTCTTAAGGACAAGTCATCATGCCGCTGGATATTCATTACGCCTACTTAATAATTACCATTAAAAACTGGAAATCATTGCCAGAGTTTACGGTTCAAGTTCCTTTGGCCAGGAAAACATCAAGCAGAAGCTGCCAATTTGAATCACCACGGCATGCTTAATTATTCCTGAGTTAGTTAACATGTGCTTAATTAACCACTACAGATACATTCCGGGGAAAATGTATTTACCACTTCTGTCTAGATCATTTGGAAGTATTATATGCCTAGGGAAACAATCTACAACTTACAAAGACAAAAACAAATTAAAGTGGACACCATACATGTACCACCGACACCACGAGACAAGTTAGAACTTAAGCACCGGTAAGTACCCGCGGAGTGCGATTGCACCAATGACCTTCAAATGCTCACTCAGTAGGTTAGTGAAACCTGGCAAATAATTTTGTCATGATGAATAAAATATGTTCAACCCAGTATTATTTTATTATATGGGTTATCTGGTAGGTTTCAAGGTGACTTTAAACTATAGCAGCCCAGAGGCGTCAGAAACAGAAGTGCGTAATTTAAAATAAACACCTATGTACAAGTAATGCTATGGTAAAAAATGGTTACATAGGCACTAGGGTATTACGTCGTCCCAAGTATTTGTCGCAGTATATTCTTGATTGCCCAGCCATTACGTTTCACTAATCTACTCTCTGGGTGCTAGGCGGTTGTGTGTTATCCGAATACCAAATACATTGCTGACATGAGGGACAAGTTGGCTCTCGAAGACAGTGCCATGGCTGGAAAATAATCACCGCGGGCCCCAAAGAGAGTAAGCCAGTTGTCAATAAACGCCCTAGACACTGTTTTATCTTGTTCCTACGAAGGAACCGCTTCACACCGTTTCGTAAAAATGTCGACCACTACCAAGATATATTCGTTGCCTCGTTTTGAAACTGTAATGGACCCCCTGATATCAGCGCCCAATCGTTGATCCGGTGTTCTTGTTAACATGGATACGAGGGTTGCTTGGGGGCCCTGTAGAGGCTGCTTGGCCCAGCCACATGCGTTATAGTTTTCGTGGAATTCAGCAATATCCCAATGTGGCTGCGACCACCAGGCCAGGTGGTGGATGACATTTTCCGTCCTGTATCAGACAGTATGGCTAAGCTGGTGATGCACTTAACTAATCAGTTCCTGTATATTTACTTTAGGAAATAAAAAGCGGTGAGATGCGTTCAGCTTCACTACACTTAGGACGTCGTCTATTAGTCCAAGTTAGCCCCCTTTGCTACAGAAGTATCGCAATGCGACTGATAAATCCCATAATTCCTTAGACGACAGCTTATTACTCCTATGACGATGACGTAGGTAGACGGGTTTTGTGCCTTTTTCCGTCGCTTGCGGGGATGTCCAGTCAATATCTGTTGCTGTACCAAGAGGGGCATTTACTGCAGGGTCGAATCTAGGCATTCTAGAGAGAGCATCTGCATTGGTCTGATGCTTTCCTGTCCGGTATTCACAAGTGAATTTCAATTCTGTCACATGCTGTTGCCAGTTTACTGTATAGGCCTAGTTTTCCTGGAACTTTTGCAGCCACCGCACGGCACCATGATCTGTGCGTACTCCGAAACAGCGCCCGAGAAGGTAGTGACGACAGCAGTGCAAGGATTTAACCAGGGCGAACACTTGCCTCTACATCGCGAAATAGCTGGCTTGATACTCGTCAAGTTTCTTGCTGGCGTACGCTATGATCCACTCATGGCCGTCAGGTGATGCCAGTGACAGAAAGGTACCTATTGCATTAGCACTGGCATAAGTGTCCAGAATGAACGGACGATCAGTCGGTGGTGTGTTGGGAAATACCAAACTGGGTGGAAAGATGAAGCATTCCTTTAATTAGTCAGAGGAACTCTGACACACTACAGTTCATGCGAACTTCCTCCCTTTTTCAGCCAGTCTGTATAAGAGTGCCGTTAACGATGCGAAATTATGTACAAACACCTTAGAATACGACGCTGATCCAAGGGAGCTGCAGAGATAGCTAGCTGGTTTATGGAGGGCCCAAGTTGAGAAGAATCTGGCCTTATTTGAGACTACTTGAATTCCATATGTTATTATATAGTGACCCACAAAGATCACTTCACGCTGCAAAAATCAGCATCTGGCGGGCTCAAGCTTTAGTCCATGAATCCCTAAGCAACGGTAGACTGTCTGCAAGCTGTAATGATTTGCCGAACACCATTATATCACCTAGGTAGATAAGTTGCCAACGTGTCTGACGCCAGCTGCATCAGA